ATACATGCATGCATGCATGCATGCATGCATGCATGCATGCATGCATGCATGCATGCATGCATGCATGCATGCCTGCGTGCGTGCGTGCGTGCGTGCGTGCGTGCGTGCGTGCGTGCGTGCGTGCGTGCGTACATACTCATACTCTAACACGTTCTTACATTATAATATGGTCACACGTCTTTGTATATCGTACCGAACGGATCCTAAGCTGTAAGTAGCTGCATGACATGGGGCTGGCACCTCCAAGGAGCAGAAGATCTTTCCAGAGGACACACCATCATGTTTTGGGCGTTAGGGCAGAGGGTTTAGAAAATCGGGGGTTTTAATGCTTTGGGGCTTAGGGTTCAGGGTTTAGGAGGCATACCTCCAAGACTGAATCACAGTTGGGTCTCGAATGTGGTAGGCTGCTTGGTTCCTAACTAGCTTGAACCTTTCAGCCGAGCCCCCTACACCCTACACCCTACACCCTAAACCCTAAAGCCTAAAGCCCTAAACCCCTAAACCCCTAAACCCCTAAACCCTTAAACCCTAAACCCTAAGCCCTAAGCCCTAAGCCCTAAGCCTTTCAGCCGAGCCCCGCAGGAGATCAATGCCGCTGTCCAGGACATGTGCGTAACCGGGTCTCGAAGAGGCCCTCCGGTCAGCAGCTTGAGAATTTTCGGTCGTGGGGATTACGGATTAGGGTTGTTTAGGGTTCTTGGGTTTAGGGTTTAGGGGATTAGGGTTTTGGGTTTAGGCGATTAGGGTTTAGGGTTTAGGGTCAAGGGCTTTGCAGTGTTGTGAAATTGAGGCTGCTGTGGCCTGAGGGTTTCGCCCATGTCATGGTTGGACATACCAATCATTTCGCCCTTGGAGGGGCGTTGTTACTGCGCAAGCTAGCAATACGTTTCCCCTAAGCCTAATCCAGCTACTTGGTTCCCCAATACTCAACCTTAAAACTTTTTGGGTTCTTACAATTTAGTAGCAATCCAAGAGTTTAACCCTTTGTTTCCTTGGCTTATTGGGGAAGTAAGGCTATGCATCGTTTTTTTGTTGGGGGCTTTGGACTTTGGGCGGCCCTCGCTTATCCCAAGCCAGCCCCAGCCGACATGAGCTGCGCTTGTATTGCACTATGTAGTTTCGTACTCTTCGCTCTTCGGAGGCTTGCTCCCTAAACCCTTAACCCTAAACCCTAAAGCCATAAACCCTAAAGCCCTAAACCCTACAACCCTAAACCCTGCATGGCCCTGCCCAGTTCTGAAGCCGCGGCGGCTGAAGCCTCCCTCCTTGGTGAAGACCTTGCAGATGTCGTCGAAGATAGTTCGGCTGCCGATGCACGGGATGTTTCCGTTCCGGCACGCCCCGGCTGTAGTGGAAGAGGACCGCAGGGGTGACTCGAATTGGACAGAAATTCAAGGGACTAAAGGAGAGACAATAAAGGGACCCTTGGGGAACGGCACAATTTCCTTAGACCAGAACTCGTGCTGACCGGACTCAAAAGCTGCCCTAAACCCTAAACCCCTAAACCCTAAGCCCTAAACCCTAAGAAGGGATTCCGCCCAGTGACGTTTTCTTGCGAGCGTGCAAGGTTTCTGAGAAAGGCTTGGATCCGTGACAGTGAATCACGCCGCTCCATTCAGCTTAGACAGAGCCATAACAGCGGAAAAAGCACCCTAAACCCTAAACCCTAAACTCTAAACCTTAAAAAGCTAGCACAGCCTGAACCGCTGTAGCCCTGGAGCCCTCCACTTGCGAGGAGGACGAAGAGGAGGAACCGGAGATGCAGAACGAGAATGCGAGACCTCGGCAGGTCCCACGCATTCGAAGTTTTTTTAGGTAGTATTGTATTAGGGAGACCCCTTAAATGGGGACCCTTCTTAACCCTACTTCTGGCTCTCTGAAAAGGGACCTGGTTGAGAGGGTCTATCTCCCCAAGGGTCCCCCTAATCCTAACTTCTAAAGTTGTTGTGGTGTGTTGGGGCTTGCCGAAGCCCTTCATCCGCCTGGGGGTGCTTCCCAAAGGTCAGATCGTACCGGCCTCGGCTACGTAGGTTCCTTGCATTCAGCTCTGCAGATATCCCGTCCGCTCCCAAAACTCCGAGATCTTGTGGCCAGACTTCCGAGTCGGATATACCCTAAACCCGAAAACCCTAAACCCTAAATCCAAAGCCCAAAACCCTAAACCCCAAACCCTAAACCTGAAACCCTGAGCCCTAAGCCCTAAACCCTCAACCCTAAACCCAAAACACCCAGGTGCTCCGCAGACCGGACAGAAAGCGTGATAGTCAGAAGATCGCGGCGACCATCAAGTGGAAGGCGCGCAGTTTGGGGTTTAGCGTTTCGGATTTAGGGTCATGGGCTTGTCATCGTTTTTACATCGTGCAGGCATGGGTCATACCCTATACTATCCATGCTAGAACCCTCATAGACCCCTTTTTTAAAGGAGCCCTTAAAACGGGAGCCCGACTCTAATTCTTCAGGCCCCTCATCTTAAAGTGACTACCTGTGTTGTTTCGGAGGAGCCGTGCCCTGGACACCCAGAGGCTCCAAAACCCCCGTTGAACCAAGGAAGTACACACCTGAAGTCACAAAACGGAACCCTCTGTAGTTTAGGGTATATTCCCTTTCTTAAGGAAAATCAAAAAGGATACCTCTTTAGTTTTAGGTTTATTCCTCAATGATGGAAAAGCACTGGACGTCACAATAAGGAAGCCTGTTATCGTTTAAGGTATATAGTTAAAGGCATACACCCGAAGTCACAATAGCGTCCCTCCATGGTTGAAGGTACGTTCTTTCAATTACGGAAATATGCCTTAAGTAAGGCACAAATTTACGGTATCTTCCTCAATTAAGGGGTTTTGGAGTGTCTGGGTAGGCAGCCTCCACTCCCTGAAGCCATTCACCTGATGCAGGTGCCGATCTAATTGAGGGTTTAAGGTTTAGGGTTTAGTAGAAGTTCTGTAGGTCATTGACCACAACAAAGCAGTACGCTGCATATGTTGGCATCTTTATTTTTGGATGTTTTTGCTTCGTTTGACCAGGAGGCCAAGGACAGATTGGAGTTGGGCGAGCCGTTCCTGCACCGCCTTTCGGCTTTGCAGAGTTCGCCCTAAACCCTAGACCCTAAACCCTAAACCCTAAACAACCAAACAACCCTAAACCCTAAACCCGAAACCCTAAACCCTAAACAACCCTAAACCCTAAACCCTAAACCCTCAACCCAGGCGCTTCGGCTGCAAGTGCAAGCGTGCAGTTAGTTTTTGTCAGGTTCTCCTGACCACACCGTCAGGTTCTCCTGACCACACCGCCTCCTAAGGAGATAGGCCGTATCACGCGGGCCAGTGCTGCCATGTCGCAGCCGCCGTCAGGGTCGATGGTTTTCGACCACAACGCCCCTGCTACCAAGCAGTTTGTGGAGCAGAGGGCTACATATCAAACCGCCGAGTACAGGGCGGTGCAGAGTGCCTTTTTCGGGCCACCGCGCGTCGAGCGTTCAGCTCCCACGCCGGTCCACAGCGGTCTGACCACACTGCAGGAGGGCACACTGGATGACGAGATCATGCAGGAGGCGAAGGAGTTTGGTGAGCCGGAAGAGGAACGGCAGATTTTGGCGCCGTTTTCCCTGCAAGACCAAGCCGCACTGTCAGTTACACTGGGAAGTTTGGGGGTCAACATCAACGACCAAAATTCCACTCAGCAGTGGGCGCACAGTGCACCAAAGACCAATGGGGATATTTGCAACATGGTTCGGGCGTACCACGAGAAGGTCACTCGCCCGGAGTATTATTCCCTAGTCTGTCAGCTGGAATCAGGGCTTAAAGCAGTGGATGAAAGGTGCTTTGAGGTTCGTAAGCAGCTTTCCTGGATGTTTGCAGAGAACCGTCTGAGCCAAAAACATGCATGTGGGTTGCAGTTGCTCACGACTGGTTGGCCCAATGCGCTGGCCCCTTCTGAGAGAGTTTATATGATTTCCTGGATGGTTTCGCAAGTCCCCAATCTGGTGACTTTTCTCAAGCAGCGTGGTTACGTCTCAGACCACAACGCCGCGGAGCTGGAAAGGCACATGAACGTTTTCTCCCAGGAGCCCACCACGGTGCCGCAGAGTGAGGGGTTTTATTTGACCATGACGCTCCTAACTTTTAAGAGCTGGGATACTAGGACAGCCTTTTTGAACCACTACGGTGGCAGTTCCGGAGTGCCTGTCTATTAAGGCGAGTCCACTCCAGTTCACAACAAGCATTTGAAGGTTGCTCCATGCAGCCCTCAATGGCAGCGTAAGCTTGAGGCTCCATTGAGGGTAATTTTGAACTGTGTGAACAAACACCCCGACCACACCGCCACCTCTAAGCTCACAATCCTGTGGAAGACAGTGACACTTATGTGTCCACAGCAGGATGCTGAGATTCATGAAGATGCCACGGCCTGGGCTCGGCTTCACTACGGCCAAGAGGGTGGCAAGTTTATTGGTCGGCTAGAGGTGGTTCAGGAGCTTTTTTCCATCATGCAGGGGCAACCTTCAGAGGTAGGGTCCACGAACACAACGCTTTGGGACGAACAATGGTACCAAACGATGTGGGGGAATCATTTGGAGCTCGACCGAACAGATGCAGCTGCTTTTTCAGCAGCCAAACAAAACGCCGTCGTTTCTGGCCAGGGCCTCCAGAAAGGAAAAGGCAAAAAGGCATTGGTCGAGTGCTGCGGTTCATTCGGATTCGTATGAACCGTTTCCTTTTGATTTGAATGTTGTGGTGGTGGAGGCTGTATATTTTTCGTGGGACGAATTTTGCGATAAATTCAAGAAGGAGGATCGCAAAATTGGCGACTACGAAGTTGCCACGGTGCAGGGCCATCCCCCAGTGGGAGCAGGAGCGGAGCTCCGTGCAGACCACACCGCCGCAGCTTTTTCAGCAGCTTCAGCAGCTGCACCAGCAGCCGCCAAAGGCGGCAAAGGTGCCTGAACGTTTGGCTTCCGAAGTTTCGTGGCCCCGGCCTGCTCACGACGCCTCAGCCCTCAGGCTTTCGAGTTTGGCCTTTCTTGCGGAGAGCTGGCAGCACTGTTAAAAATTTTTGTGTGCTCGCCTCTGCCTTTAAATCGGGCTGGAAGGTACTCTGGGAAAATCCCGGAGGACCACACCGCCCCAGGAATTCGTTTTGAACTTTTTTCGGGTCTCGATTACACCGCCCTCGGCGACGGTAGGTTGCCGCAAAGGCACTTCTTCTTACCCTCTAAGGATAGGAATAGGCTTATGCATGCACTTAATGGAAACACAGTCCTTAGGCTACTGGATTACATCCCCGATCATAGAAGAATAATAAGACTAGAGCAACATTTACCAGTCGAGCCCGAACACACCGCTAACAGCCCTGCCGTTTACAGTCGCAGCTTTCTGTTGCAGTGCAGATGCAGCCAAAAAGGTTCCGAAGGGTTGCCAGTGACAGCTTCGATCACAACGCCTGTTTCTACCCCCTTTTGCCCTACCCCCACAAAGCCGAATCAAAGCCGAACAGGTAGGCGTCACAAATTCAGAAATAAGCATGGATACGTTTGTTTCACAAACAAACACAGACCACACCCCAAGGGTAGTGTAATTAAAGAATTCAAAAATTCACAACCATGCCGAAACCGCCTCCACGAGGCGCGCCGGGACCCCCAATTACCCAACCCAGGAGCGGACCACAGCGCCCACGGGGCGTCCAGCAAGGGCGCAGCGTCGTCGCGCGTACCGCCGTTGGATCCGTGGGAGCACAAAGGAACGGGTAAAGGAGCCGGGCCCTCCCTACCCTGTCCCACCTCAGCCCAAACAAGCCGGCCGTACCAGGGCCCAATGGTTCAAACAAACAATTCATTGGCAGGACCAGATGAAAAGGAACAGGAAGCGAAAGTCGGGAAACTATCCGACCACACCGCCGCTACCATATGGTAATAAGTTAAAGGTTGGTTCTTCGAATGTTCAGGGTTTCGCAGATACCTTGAAACTTAAGAACGCCATTCAGATAATGGAGGAGCACCATCTAGACGTTCTTATGCTGTCGGAGACCAGGACCACAACTTATTACTCCTACCAGTCAGAAAAACATTTGGTTATCTTATCTGGTAACAACAAAGACAAATATGCAGGTGTAGGGGCTATTGTTTCGCCTAAGATCCGACCACACCTCTTAGATGTGATCCAGGTTTCTCCTAGGCTCCTGCATCTCGTCTTTAAACAGAAAGGCGGAAATATGCATGTAGTGGGGGTGTACGCCCCACACTCGGGATTGGACTATGAAGAAGCTAGGGTCCCATTTTGGGATAGCTTAGAAGAACACATAGCCAAAATCCCCCGACCAGAGCCGGTGTACTTGGTAGGAGATTTCAACGTTAGGTTTCAGGCCCAGCATAAGCACGATGAAGGGGTAACAGGACCGTAGACATACGGCAAAGGTGTGAAACACATCGACCACAACGCACAGTCTAACCGATCCCTATGCATTAGAACTATGCAACTTTTAGGAATGATAGAAGCTGCATCTTGGATCACCCCCAATCCCATTCACCACATCACCTTTAAGGATAAAGCAGCCCCACCACCCGATTGGTCACAGTTCGTTCTAGATCCCCTCCCCCTGCAACAGACTTATGCCCATGTGCAAAAACAGCTGAACTATGACCTTGACCTAGCTCTTACAGTGTCATCTAAGGTGAGGTCATACTTGGAGCTCCCGGACCTTCTGCCCCCACCCAAGACCACACCGCAGGTAGATCCAATACGGTTTCAGAGGCTAGACCACCTATTCGTTCGGAAGCAATGGCTCAATTCGGTACACCAGTGTCGTTCGAAGCTACACCACGGGCTTCCCTACCGATCACTACCTAGTAGTTTCACATATCCAGGTCAGACTCGCAGCCAAGCCCCCCAAGCCACCCAGAGCCCCAAAGCTAGACCTTACTCAACCGGCGGAACAACAAAAGAAGGACTACAACGCAATCTTCAGGGAGCTCATCCAAGAACAGCCACCATCCCCTAGCATAGCACCCCCAGACCACAACGCAGTAGGTCATTACTACACGGATGGTTCGGGCACTTCAGGCAAATGTGGAGGCAAATGTGGAAAGCACGCACCAGCAGGATGGGGATGGTGCACCCTTCAGGGGGATCAATGGCTCGATGGGTATGGTCCTGTGATCACAGACCCAGACCACAACGCGTATAGGGGTGCTAGCGTAGGATCTAACAACACGGGGGAGTATCATAGAAGCGTTGCTACATGCGCACCAAAATGCACTCACCACAGTCCACATCCACACCGACAGTCAGTGGGCAAAGAATGTCATCACAGGCAAATGGCGAGCACAACGCAACAAGCTTTTGGTGGCCACCGCAAAACAGCTCACAAGAATCAAGCCGCTGAAGGTCCACTTTCACTGGGTCAAAGCGCACAGAGGTCACCAAGGCAACGAAAGGGCGGACGCGCTAGCCAACCAAGGCCGCCGAGCCGATCAGCGCACCGGAACCACAGCCACAGCGCAACCACCCGATACGCCAGAAAAACACACGCCCATCCGAGAGGACTCCTTTACTTCGGTTCTTAAGGAAGCGGCCAAACAAACCTTCCGCAACGCCATCCGCACTCAACGCAAACTCTGGATCTCAGACCACACCCTGGAGCTGCTCCAACAAGCGCGTTCAGCGGAAGCCGCAGGAGAACACAACGCAAAACAGAAGCGCAACCAGGCCAAACGTTCTGCTCGAAAGGACAAGGTCAATTGGGTACACGCACAGCTCATGGAGGACCCCAGCGCAGAACACAGCGCGGTCTGGCAGGCAGTCAGACGACAAAAAAACAGGTTTCAGGGGGAAAAATCACACCTAATAGTGAAAGGTAAACCAGTACCTTGGAGCAAAACGCACGAAGCATTCCGAGACCACTTGCAGAACACACAATGGGCCGCCCACCAGGCCTCCGCTACCCGCACAAAAGAACTGGAATCAAAGCGCCCTCTCAGACCACAACGCCAGGACAAGGAAAAGTTCACAATGGAAGAACTGCAGCAGGCAATGGCTAAGCTCAAACCACGCAAAGCACCAGGTCCAGACCGCACCGACAATGAACTCTTTAAACTTTTTGACGACGACAGCACACAACTACTCCTAGACTTTTACAATAAAATTTGGGAAGTTGAAGAAATTCCAGACGAATGGAAGGAGGCAATAGTCGTTTCCATTTATAAGGGCAAGGGGGTCGACGCAGACCCAGCCAATTATAGACCAATTTCCCTGCTCAACTCAATTTATAAATTATTCGCGGCTATGCTTCATGCTAGACTATCTCTTAGCCACGAGAAGAATTTGAGAAGCAACCAGTACGGCACCACACAACCTCTATTTGTACTTAGAAGATCAATGGAATGGTCGGAAATGACTTCTAATCCCCTGCACTACCTTTTTCTGGATTGGAAACAGGCGTTTGACTCCCTAGACCACAACGCAATGATAATCGCTTTAAGAATATTCGGGTTATCTAACAAGTCCCTGGCGGTTATCAATTCCATATATACGGATCCAACTGTTTTCACTAGGGGCCCGGACGACCACAACGCCAAAGGTAACGTACGGTCGGGGATTAGGCAAGGATGCCCGCTAAGCCCTTACCTGTTTATCATTGTTCTCACGGTAATCATGGAAGATGTCGACTGCGATCTAGCCTCACAAGGGGTTACGAGGAACTCATGGTCTGTTGCTAGACCCACCACGGATATAGAATATGCGGACGACACGTTGCTCATAGCTAGAACCACAACGCAGTTAACTAACTTGCTGCATACCCTAGAAAAAACATGCAGAGTTACATGGGATGCACCGAGTACCTCATCGACCCTAGACATAACAATCCCAAACTGTATTTCAAAAGTGGACAGGAAGTCCCGACCACAACGCAAGTAAAATATCTAGGAGCTACCATCATCTGGGAAAAGCCTTTTGAAGCAGCTTTTAGGCATAGAGCAGCCGTAGCCGAAACAGCCTACAAAAAGCTAAGGTTAGTATTGAACAGCAACCTACCCCGCAAGACCAAACTGCGCATATTCCAATCCGTCTTTATCCCCACTCTTATATATGGCCTGGATACCATGATCCTAACGGCAAAACACGTGGCTCGTATTGATGCATATTACATACGCTTCCTTAGAAGGGTAGTCAACATAAAGGCCCCTTACTACTCTCGAATCCCAAACCACACAGTGTGGAGAACAGCCAACTACCCGAGAAAACCCTCAAGCTTCCTGAACACAGCGCAGATTAAAATGATAGACAGTATTTAACGCAGACCCCTCAGAGCCCATCCACCACGTAGTCTTCAGCTCAGCTTACAGAGACAGGATAATAGTCACAGGCCGCAGAAGAGGAATGAAAATGCCGTACTGGATAGAGACCACAACGCAGCGGCATTATAAGAACCATTGGCAAGCAAACCCTGGTAAAGGAATTCTAGGACCACACCAAGTGTATGCTAGACCTGAAGAGTTCCTTTGAGCGAGCGCCGAAGCGCGCTGGACCAAAGCGCGCAGGGCACTAGCAAAAAAAAACCCTCAACCCCAAACCCTCAACCCTAAACCCTCAACCCTCAACCCTAAACCCTAAATCCTAAAGCCTGAACCCTAAACCCTCAAGCCGATTCCTCGCCCAGCTGCCGTAATTGAGGTCGTCTTCAGCTGAACAAGGCGATGCGACTCCTGCCTGATCCGAGAGATCGGAGTAATTTTAGGGCTTAGAGCTTAGGCTTCAGCATGTAGCGTTTAACGATTAGGGTTTAGAGTTTAAAGATTAGGGTTTAGAGATTAGGGTTCAGAGTTTAGCGTTTAAAGATTATGGTTTAGAGAGTACGGTTCAGCGTTTAGCGTTTAAAGATTAGGCTTTAGAGCTTAGGGTTCGGAGTTTAGCGTTTAAAGATTAGGGTTTAGAGCTTAGGGTTCAGAGTTTAGCGTTTAAAGATTAGGGTAGCTTAGGGTTCAGAATTTAGCGTTCAAAGATTAGGGTTTAGAGATTAGGGTTCAGAGTTTAACGTTTAAGATTAGGATTTAGAGATTAGGGTTCAGCGTTTAGCGTTTGAAGATTAGGGTTTAGAGATTAGGGTTCATGGTTTAGCGTTTCAAGATTAGGGTTTAAAGATTAGGGTTTAGAGTTTAGGCTTTAGGGGTCCTCGGGTTCGGGGTTCAGGGTTTTCAGACCTGCGAGAAGTGGAGAGTGTGAAGCCAGAGGCCACGAAGTCGCATTTCTCCAGCCAGGTTCGCGGGGTCCGGCTTAGGGTTTGGGGTTTAGGGTGTAGGATTCGAAGGTACTGTACTAAACTAAACTATACTATGCTACACTATACTAGACTAAGATGAATGTATATATATATATACATATACATACATACATATATATATATATGATTTTTGGAGGCTCCAGCCCAGCTGAGGAGCTTCGGAGATGCTTGAGAGAGATTCGAGCCTCGGCTATCAGAGCGGGACGCAGTGAGCCCTGAACAGAAAGGGTCACCCCCTGCGAGATTACTGGGTTCCGCTGATTTGGGGGTTTTAGGTTTAGTGTAGGAGCCTTCATGATTAGAGTAGGGCTCCGGGGTCTATTCTGGTATCCATGTATAGGGGCTATAAGGGGATGCTCTTAATAGGTAGTTATATGCTGCTAGGCGCGAGGGCTTCGAGGAGGCATTCTTGCGGCAGCTTTTTGCATGAATCTTTGGATCCCCCGGCTCCAGCCTGCAGAAGCTATGGGTACAGGAAGGGTTGGGTCAGGGTTTAGTTGAAGGTTTAGGGTTTAGGGTTTAGTGTTTAGGGGTGCAGGATGGGTTGCGACATGGCCTGCTATGTCGGTTTGGAAGAACTAAGCATCATGTCCCCTTGTAGTCCCTATGCTTTGCTTGTTTATACTATAATAGAGCCCAAACCCCTATTCTAGTTGTTAAGGCCCGTCTACTACACCCACCCCTTATAGAACTTGTAATGGAACACTAACCCCCTCAAGCCCTATTCTAATTGTTAAGGCCCCTGTATTATGGGTTGGCCTTTCCGAGCATCTTAGGGTGATCCTGGCTGCCGACGCGGAATCATCCACAACTGGCCAGCAACTGAATGCCTTGCAAGCGAAGGTGGGGGACTGTACTAAACTAATTAAACATTACTGCACTGTGCTAGAATGACTGTACTACATATATCATACTATACTAGAACATGATATATAGCAGAATAGTAGAACATAGCAGATCATCACGGACAGGAGATGCCTTGCCGAAACTCTTGCCGTCCCCAGTCTCAATCTCCTTCATCGGCTGCAGATTCCACTGCCATACGCCCGAAAGAGCAAATTCCCTAGACCCCTCTCCCCTAAACACCTGAACCACCTGTGCCCTCTGGGTCAGATTGCAGTGGTCCAGTCCCTACAATCCACTCTCTTCGACACCTATGACCAGCCGAATCCTCCTGCCACTCGGCATGGCACCGGGAAGGCCCCCCAAAATGTGGGTTTCAGGGCCCCCAAAAATGTGAGTTTAGGGGTTTCAAGTTTAGCCGAACTTGCTTTTATATCGTTAAGTGTTCAAAGTTTAGCCGACAAGAACTTCAATAGCACGAACGGTGTGGAGTTCAGTGGCCTGAATACAGCGCTGCATGGTCACAGGCTTCCTGCTGCAGGGAACACACTAAAACCACAACTAGAAAGCCCTGGACCCCAACACCTAATACCTCCAAGCCCTAATTTCTCCAAAACCCAAGACCCTAAACCCGCAGTTGCAGACCAAAAAGAACCCTACAACACCTAAACCCTTGAAGCAAAAGAGGAAAAACAGATCGAGGCCTCTGCGCTGGCCACTTTCGAGCAGCTCATTCCAAGGGAAGCTGCTCGCTTGACATGTGCTCTTTAAGATTTAGGGTTTAGGGGTTTAGGGGTTTAGGGTTTAGGGGGTTTAATTTCGGGTTCTGGGTTTCGAGTTTAGGGTTGCAAGCGGATCGTGGCACACTAGGCTCGGCTCTTCAGCTGCTCAACTCGGACAGGTTCTCTGAATCTTATCTGGCTGCTGACACATGGGTTTAGGGTTTAGGGTTTAGGGACTAAAGTGCAGCAAATCCCCTCGTAGCAGCATGGGCAGGGCGCTTTGTAAAGCTGCCGTCCGGTCCGTGTCCATCTGCTGCATCTGCCCATGCTGCCAGCAATGTCTCCTCTTGAAAAAAACCCATACATCCTCATCTTGTGAGGTTTCCGATAGGTCCTCAACCGTTCGTTTTGCGATTTTACGGAGCAGCATTGGGGGAAGGGAAGGTGAGGCCTCTGAGAAGACCCCGGGGTCTCTCCTGTCGCTTCCGGCTTCCGCTTGGTGTCCTCCATGTCCCGGAGCTCCACCAGGAGCTGTAGGGTTTAGGGTTTAGGGTTTAGGGTTTAGGGGTTTAGGGTTTAGGGTTTAGGGTTGTAGTGCCATGTTGCTGCCTCTCCTTCCTCTGGTCTGATCCCGCGGGATGATTCGTCGTGCTGCCGTGCTATCCAAGCAGTCATGCTTCCACCTCGCCGATGCTTGGATGCCGAAGAAGGCAACGAGACATCGTCCTGCCAGCCTCGGCCAACCTTGGAACTCTCACCTGCTTCAGGTGCGCGAGGAGCTGCGAAGCACCTTTGTAATATAGGGGCCTTAATAATTAGAATAGGGTCCGGGGTATATTATACTATAATTGTAATAAGGAACCCCCAAAACCTTGTTCTAATTATTAAGGCCCCTACGGTACAGCCGCTTGGCACTGCCTTCCAGAACAGCATGAAGTTCGGGTCGGACGAGGACTTTCCGTTCTTCCACTCACTCGTGCTGACATAAATCAGCATCGCACGTTGGTATCCAACCAAGCTTTCCGACGCCTCATCGAAGATTGGCACTCCATCCCTTGTATAGCGCACCTTCACTCCAGCCCTGAACCTCCAGATCCTCCGATCTGTATGGGCTCCGTTACCGTGCAAGCGGCTCGTGGCACACTCGGCTCGGCAAACAGCTCTTCCGGATTCTCGACCCAAAGGTGCTTCCAACCATGCGCGTTTGGATGCATGACAAGCCATTCAGCTTGCAAGCGTTTCGGGAGAAGTCTGAAGAATTCGTTGGACGGTTCTTTTCAAAACTTCCATGAAGCAAAGGTTACTGTAAGGGTTACTATAATGGGTATTAAGCGGCTCAATGTAAGAGGCTGAAGAACGAGTCATGGTATTCCTCTGGGCCCCTTATCCTAATTGTAGTATAACATACCCCCCCAAAACCTAGTCATTAAAATCACTATAGCCTTATATTATGCTGGGACGGGCCTTGCGGCTCGGATTTTCGAGTTTAGGGTCTTAGGTTTAGGTTTAGGTTTAGGTCCAAGGTTTTGGGCTTTTCGAGGTGTTGGAGGTTTAGAATTCAGGTTTTCCAGGTTGGGCCTTAAACACTAAGATCTAAACCCTAAACCCTAAACCCCCTAAACCCGAAGTACCCCTAAACCTTCGGCTTCAAAAGGTCAGGAGGCTTCACAGGATGCGCAGCGACGGGAGCGGCGAGGAGCCACCGCTTCTTTGGGATTAGGGCTTAGGTTTAGGGGATCGGGTTTTAGGGTTTAGGGTTTAGGGTTTCTACAATAGGGTCCCTTTTTTTGGGTCCACTTTTTTTTACAGGGGTTTCGGGGTTGGGGCTTGCGAGCAAGATTTCCGACACCTTCTTGGCTGCGGCACTCCATGCGCCCTGCCAGGACCTGATGAGCCCAGTCTCGACGAAGTTTTCGCGGCAGGAGGACGGGCCGGCCACTCCGGTGTTCGGTGGTGTGGTGTATGTCAAGTGGGAGGTTTTCCAAACCAGGGGATCCCTCTTGAGGTCCCCAGTATACTACGGTCCCTATAAAAAAAAGGACCGAAAAGGGACTCTGTTTTGGAAAACGACCCAAGCCGGTGATGCTCTCGGTGGAGCTGCAGCCCTACCGGCTGCCTTCCTGAAGGAAGGGAGTCGCTCCTGGCCGGCCCCATAGGGTTTAGGGTTTAGGGCTTGGGGTTTAGGGTTTAGGGTTTTAGGGTCTGGAACAACTCCCCAAGCTGTCGATACGGAATTGCGTGGGAGCTTTCGACCTCTTCAGCCGGGGCCGAGGCGACTATCGACGCTTTTTGGTGCTTGTGGTACTGCTGATGATAGAAATCCTGCATTACCTTCAGGACCCTAAACTATGGGAATTATGGTATATTCCTTATTATGGGTAAAGAGGATTTATACCATCAACCCGTAGCCCTGAGCCCATCAACAGGGCACGACATGCGGAAGCCTAGCGGAGATTTCTTCAATGGCCACGGGCCAGAATAGGAGTGTTCACGCATCCGCTCAGAGGATCGGATCGTCTTGCAGCATACTGTCGTCTATGCTATAGTATACTCTTAATATCCTACAAGATATGCTATAATATCATTATAAGAGACTATGATCTACAGTAATTGTATGATACCCTAAACCCTAAACCCTAAACCCTAGACCCTAAACCCTAAACCCGAAACCCTAGACCCTAAACCCTAGACCCCAAACCCTAAACCCTAAACCCTAAAACCCTAAATCTACTCCAGGAGGTCGAGGATCACTGCACGGCCGTGCTGGGCGGTGCTGTGCTGCACCACGTGGAGCTGACGGGCTCCTGGCACAACGCCCCGATCCTCAACCCCAACGAGCCTCCCGGCCCTTAAGGGGCTTAGGGCTTTGGGGTGTAGGGGTTTAGGGCTTAGGGGTTTAGGGGTTTACGGCTTTAGGGTTTAGGGGTTTAGGGGTTTAGGGTTTAGGGTTTGGGGTTTAGAGCTTTGGTGCTTAGGTTTTGTCGGATCATGTCCTTGAAGCCGGCAGAGAGGTTAGAGTCCGACACGCCAAAGCTTTCAACTTGCACCTATTGTCAGCAAGTCTGGACCTTGCACGAGTGTCTTTGTTGTTCATAGTGTCCATCCAGACAGTTTCGAACATGCCTTTGCGATTGCTCGTCAGTTTGCTAGGGTACGAGGCCTTCACTTGCAACTTGTGTTCGTTTTGCTGGAGGTGCCTGGAACTCTAGGCACGTTGCAGTGCGCAGCATGCTCGTGTGTGGCTACTGTATACCGCTGGTCATGCTGGACGCAGTGTGATAGCAGCTAATGTGCTCGAGTTCGGAGTTCGTAATCGTGTCGGATGCTTTCAGCTGCGATGCTGTCTCACCTCTTGATTAGCTCCCTCGTCCAGCTGCGTCTTGCAATCATTGGGCTGTCGACTTGCTGGAGCATTTCTCAGAATCCAGCTCTCATCCTTGACTCACAGGTTCCGCTTTTACCTGGCCGCAGATGGTTTACCCTAAACCCTAAACCCGTTAGCGTTGCGGTTTTTCATGTCTTCGCCTCTGGACCAAGGCAGCCAAGAGAAGAGGCCGGGGGCTGTGACCCGAGAGCTGATTACCTCCCACATCTTGGGCCGGGACCCTCCTGTCCGACCCTAAACCCTAAATCCTAAACCCTAAACCCTAAACCCCTAAACCCTAAACCCTAAACCCCCTAAACTCTAAACCCTATAATCCCTAAAGGCCCCACGTCGATCATCGCAGACCTCCAGGCGAAGCAGCCGCCTGGCCAAAGCAGGGACTCGCGGTGTCTCGAGGTTTAGGGTTGCAGGGTTTAGAGGGATTTTGGGGTTTAAGGGTTTAGGGTGTAGGGTTTTGGGTTTAGGGTTTAGGGTTTAGCGGTTGAGGGATTTTGGGGTTTAAGGGTTTAGGGTTTAAGGTGTAGGGTTTTGGGTTTAGGGCTTTTGGCGTTTTGGGTTTAGGGCTTAGGGTTTGGGGTTTGGGCTTAGGGTTTAGGGTCTAGGGTTTTGGGTGTAGG